GGCAGAAGGATTTAATCGCCGTCAGGTCCGAAGTCCATACGCCGCCTCAGCTCTGCGGATGTCTCGGGGGTATGGCACAATTGAATCGATTTTTGTTTTAATTCTTGGAATTACCACCGTATCCAGATTAGATTTTTTTCTTTTTTCTTCTTTTCTTTTCTTTTCTTTTTTTCTCTTTTCTTTTTTTCTTTTTTTTCAGTTTGCATAAACTTTGACAATTTATATATATATGCAAGTATATCAAAAATATATCAGAAATTATGGGATTTCATCCCCGATATTTTTCCCAGAAAGCCCTAGTGATAGACAACTCGAAAAAAATATCGGGGATCCTATCCCATAATTTTTGATATACTTTTGATATACTTGTATATATGCACAGATGGTCAAAGTTTATGCAAACCGCAGTATATATATATATATATATATATTCTTCGATCGTTTCGCAATTTAGCAGAACCGATATCTTGATTTTTGAAAATCGTGTTTACAAAAGGCAACATTAAATCCTTACCTTGAAGTACTATTTTTTCATACAGTGACGCTCAAAGTGGAATGTACTATCTTCACCTGGGAGACGCTGTTGTCAAGGCGTACTGCTACATGGACGAGATGTGTGGATCCAAAGGATGGACGATGATCATGAAGATCGATGGGACCAAGGTTAGAACAGGACACTGCGGGCTGGTGGGCTGGTGGGCTGGTGGGCTGGTGGGCTGGTGGGGAATTTCTAACGAATTTTTCCATGTGCAGACAACATTTCACTACGCTTCACCCTATTGGACAAACAAAGCCACCTACAACATCGCTGGCGCTTCTGGAGGTYTCGACGACCAAGAAACTAAACTAGAAACCTACTCTCACCTTTCATTTAACTTGCTTTGCTTGGGATTCACGTCTGGGAATGAAACAAACTGGATGCCTTTATCGTATCCTGCAAACTCACTACACTCTCTCATCGCAGACGGAGTGTATAGGAATACGAGCAACGGTAGAGAAGTCTGGAAGGGTTTGATTCAAGGGTCCTCTCTGCAAAATGAATGTCACAAGGAAGGATTTAACGTCAGATTTAGGTTTGTTAACATGGCAAGGATTGGTATTCTTGGCAGTAGCAAAAAAGGTTGTGAAAATCCCGAGTCGCGTATTGGTTTTGGTACTGGAGGAAATGAATGTGGTCAGGATGACTGGAATACCGCAGGGAATGAAGCACGTTGTGGATCTGATAACGGTGACCAGAGTATTACAGGCATAGGGTATATATTTGCCCGAACTGAAATGAAAATCGATAATCAAACCTCTGTTCCTACTGTTGATCCCAACCGTGACGCTGATAGAAGCTTTGGATCTCTTCTGAACCCTGCAAAATCATGTTTGGATATCCAACAAGATATGGGGTAAGTATAGGCTTGGATATGGTATTTTTGAACCCGTCCGTTAGGATTTTTACAATAACTTACAAATTTCTCGCGCGMAGATTGGTTATTTTTACCATCAATAAGAGGACAGACAGTTAAAGCTGACGTCAACGAGCGCGCGCACTTTCCGTTAGTTTTTTGATCGCTAAAAATGAGTTTTTTAATCGTTTTTGTTATTGTAAAAAACAAATAGACATCAGTTTTTTATGTCTGTCCTCTTATTGACGATAAATTTCGTCATCACATTGTCAAAGTAGTATGCGGATCCACACTACTTTGACAATGTGATGACGCAATATATCGTCAATAAGAGGACAAACACATAAAAAGCTGATGTCTATTTGTTAAATTTCTTTAATGCGTTTTGTATAATTTTTTTCGCATTTTTTTGCATATTAACGGGTTACAAAATCGTTAAAGTAATGAAACTTGTTATTTTCATAGAAGAAACGCAACGAGTGGCGTATACTACCTTTTTCTCAATGGTAAAACAGTCATGACGTACTGTCATATGGAAGCGATATGCGGCAAGACTGGATGGACGATGATAATGAAGATAGACGGGCACAAGGTATGTACATACATAGCTGAATGGAATGGAAATCCTAGGGGGAGGGGAAGGGGGAAATTTAGTGTTGTCTCGTCAAGTTAAGTTATTTTCCACTGATGTAAGCTATAAAATTAATAATTACATAGTAAGTAAATATAATTACAATGATAGAAGAATAGTTTGTGTAGGAAAAAATATATAAATAGTAATTAAATAAATAATTGTGGACGTCTTCCAAAGCAGCAAAGCGCTCGAGTTGGGAGTCGGAATCGTGAACTTGGCAATTCCAGCAAACGAAAAAGTGATGTAGGAATGACGTCAATGCAAAACTGAGGTGTCACGAAGCCTGTGAATATTGACCAAATTAAACTCGTCCAACATTGTGAAAAATATATAAAACTCATTAGCTTTTGTGTTAAGGCCCGTTTACACTAGCGATTTTTGCTGCAATTTTTTTGCGATTTTTTCCATGATAAATAATGGTAAAGAATTTACTTGTAAAGTTTTTTTCAGGATACCAAGATTTTCCTAGACGAATGTCTCTTTTGAAGGATGAGACAAAAGATTTCATATTTCCGAAAATTGCCACAAAAATCGCAGCAAAAATCGCCAGTGTAAACGGGGCTTTACTGGTACTAGCAACCTCTTCTTACCAATGTTTTTTATGGTATTTTAAAAAGGAAATTCATAATTTCAAGGGGGATCGAACATGACACCTCAGTTTTACAAATTTTATCGATTCTTAATGGTTAACATTTTCTCTCAGATCAGCTTTTAAGGAATCAGGATTAGTTCATTCGCTGTAGCTGTACGTATTCATTTATCATACCTTCCATGTATTCATTTTAAATTATGACAGACTACATTTCGTTATACATCTTCGTACTGGACCGATACATCTACCTACAACACTGCATTAGCTTCTGGAGGTCTTGACAACCAAGAAACCAAACTGGAAACGTACTCTGAGTTTCCATTTGAAACGTTATGCTTGGGAATGAGAACGAATAACGCCACGAACTGGATGTCCTTGACCCACCCAGCAGCATCACTGTACTCGTTAATAGCCAACGACACTGAGATACTAACAAACCAGGGAATAAAAGCCTGGCAGACTTTGATTCCTGGGTCTTCACTTCAAACTAAGTGCATTAAGGAAGGCTTTAATGTGGATGGACGTCGCACCTCAGCAAGAATTGGGATCATCGGCAATCAACAAAAAATTGTGATACGGCTAATTCGCGGATTGGATTTGGGACCGCCGGCAGTAGCTGTCGCCAAGACGATACCAACTCTGCTGGGAATGAAGCGCGCTGTAAACCGGATAACGGAAATWAGAGCATCAAAGGATTTGGTTATATTTTCGCTCGTGAAATCTAAAACATTCTTTTGTAATGTTTCAAATATTTGCTTGGAAATTAAGTTTGATATTAAACCAAGGGAGCACGTTAAAATTTTGATTGTGTTGGTTTATCCTTTATTTTATCGCACGTATTCTAAGATATGGTAGGCGTTCCTTGTAGTGCTTGTTTACGTGCGCGCGCTACACTTTATGCCTATTACACTCGTCATTCCCTTCCTTACACGATCGTAAGCCATTCGGATTGGCCGAAACCAAAACACTACTAGGAACGCCTATCACATGATGGATTGCGCTCTAGATAGATCAACCAAGAACAATAACTTTCCTTACACAAACAAAACTTTACCTTGATTAAACACAACTTTGATATATGAATATGACCCGCCTGAGCGCGCGAGCCTGCCCTTATCTTTCTTTGGCCGTTGTATTGTTTCCTTCCCGTGCGCGTGCAAATGTTTGCTGTTGATTTTCAAACCGAGAAAGAAAGTTTGGATTAGTATCACTGAGTCTCAATGACGAAGGTAAAAACAGAGATTTACAGATTAAATGGTAGGTTAGCCGTATTTTATAATATCTATTCAGCAAGCAACACGTTTGTGGATCAAGGATAAACAATAAAAAAACAAACTCTACTCTTCTTTACACTTCAGTGTTGTTATAATTGCTTTTCAAAGCGTCAGTTGAAACGTTTTCCATTGAATCCAATTTCTTTTGAGATTAAATGTTGTTTTTTTGTCATTTCATTTCAAAATTTATTTGTATTATTTGTAAGCAAGACAGATTCCCAATGATGTTAACTAATTAATTTTATTTCTTTGTACTTAAGATAGTAGTTTGTACTCAAACAATCCATCCTGTAATGAGGAATTCGTATTTTATCGTACGCGTAGTTTGCCTTGCTCTCTTCACCGTCACTGTCAGCATTCAAGTGTCTCACCAACTGCAATGTCCTTCGATTAATTCTACCATAATCCCAAGAATTCCTGCACACAACTGCTCATGTAACTCGAACACGACTGGCACGCTTCGCTACAATAACAAGAGTCTTGAMATCTGTGATGGAGTTGATTATGTAAGCGTGTGTCAAAAGGCTTTTTCCTTTGGTCTTTCTAAGGAGAAACCGGCCAAGTCGTGTTTAGAAATCTTGGCCAAAAACAGGTAAGAGGTTTTTTCTGACCTGCCTCTCTTCTCTTCTCTTCTCTTCTCTTCTTTGCGCACGATACTCAATAATGTTTTGATATCGTTTAATCAATCAGTAAAGCTAAAAGTGGAATGTACTATCTCCACCTGGGGAACGCTGTTGTCAAGGCGTACTGCTACATGGACGAGATGTGTGGATCCAAAGGATGGACGATGATCATGAAGATCGATGGAACCAAGGTTGGTCACGACGTTAATGGCGCACATCAAGAAAAAATGAAATAAAAGAAATAATATATGGTATATTCATGCTTGTAACCAACACATGAACCATTTGGTGCTATTTTTGGAATCACATTTGCCAACCTTTGTTTTTTTTCTGCGCGCGCTTTACGCTGTTTGGTGCGTTTTCTTGAAAAACACAAGACAAAATCAGCAAGAAGCGAAGAGCGCGTGCAGAAAAACGAACAATCAAATCAATGATTCTAAAAATACCACCAATGATTTTAAGAAAAGCATCAAAGAGTTCTTATAATGAAGCGTGGGGATTCCTTTCTTTTAGTTCATTTTCTATTGCATTCATAATCATCTCTTTAACCAGCTTCTAACTGATAACCACACATTTGATTGCACCCACTGCAGACTACATTCCATTACGCTTCTCCCTATTGGACAAACCAAGCCACCTACAACATCGCTGGCGCTTCTGGAGGTCTCGACGACCAAGAAACCAAACTTGAAACATATTCAACCTTCCCTTTCACTCTGTTGTGTCTTGGAATGAAGACATATAACGTCACAAACTGGATGCCCCTAGAATATCCTGCAAGCTCACTGTACTCCCTCACAGCTGACAATAAGTACAGACAGACAAAGCAAGGGCRTGCCGCATGGAAAAGTTTAATCCTTGGGGCCTCTTTACAAAGTAAATGTAACTTAGAAGGCTTTAATGTCAGAGCTGGCTACGGCACAATGGCGAGGATCGGTATCCTTGGTAACAATGAGAATAACTGCTGGTCAGCAGACTCGCGTTTAGGATTTGGAACCGGCGGAAATAGGTGTGGTCAGGACGACAGTAACAGCGCAGGCAACGAAGGTCACTGTTCTTCTGATAATGGCGAAAGAAGTATTAAAAGCCATGGTTATATATTTGCGCAGACACACTTGGGGATTGATACTCTTGGGAATCTTGTGAATCCGGCTGGTTCTTGTCAAGAGATAAGGACGACAAGGAGGTAAGCACTCTTTAATTTGCAAGTGCAATTTTCCATTTTCCAGAGCACCGGCCGGTCTTAAGGCTGCTCAAGTATTATGACAAGTTGGATATGGCAGTTTTCTTGATTTCTTTCTCTTCTTCTTCTTCTTCTTCTTCTTTTTCTTCTCTATTTACTCACCAACTCTTTATTTTTTTCACTTTTAGTGAAGCTGTGAGTGGTCCGTATTACCTGAACTTGAACGGTACCACCAATAAGGTTTACTGTCACATGGAAAGTATTTGTAACTCGAAAGGATGGACAATGATTATGAAGATCGACGGACTAAAGGTAAGCTCTGTTACATGGTACAGTTTTGACTATTTTACTTGAGTCTAGAGTGAGCCATTGACGAGTTGCTTGTTAGCTCTCTTCTGTGCTTTTTTCCTATTTCTCTTAATTTCCTCCTTCTGTAAAAATCAATTTGTAAATTCCAATTCAATTACGAAGGGCCACAGTTTTGTTGGGCGCTGGCTATTCATATTTTAAGTGATACTAAATCAAGGTTGATTTTGAATGTCCAATTCGTTCACTGTTTCAGAAAACCCTGTGATATGACGCCATTGAAAGTTATAAATAACGTTTGTGTAAATCCCTTGGCCATTTTTTATCTCTTAACAGCAAACCTTTGCTTACGATTCCAAATATTGGACGACTGACGAGGTATACAATGTAGAAGCTGTTCAACAAGGGATGGAGACAAGACAAGAAATGAAGCTCAAAACATACTCATTATTTCCTATCAAAAAGCTGTGTCTGGGGATGAAAGCTAGTGATGATGTGATACACTGGATGACGATCGAGAATAAATACGATCCAACCACACTCTACTCGGTGATATCTAGAAACAGCTTTGTAAGGAGTGAGTTCGGACGGGATGTCTGGATGTCACTAGTACCCGGAAGCTCCCTCCAAAAACATTGTAATCGCGAAGGGCTTAATGTTCAGGTTGAAAACCAAAGGGTAAGTAGAAATCGTTAAGCCTATTCTTGGGCTGTATGTTACGTCATAGCCGCCATGTGGGTTGACGATAACAAAGCATTCCTCATTAGCTTCTCTTGTTAGATCAACCAACATGGCGGCTGTTTCATTGTTATTCATATCTCAAGGGATTTTGAGTCATGTGGTTGCACCCTAAAAAAAGACGTCTTTACCTTGGTGATGTTTTCCCATTACATTATACCACGTGTCATTCTCTTGAGAATAAGCTTGAGATGAATCCATATTTATGTGTCTTCTCATGCGCAACCGTTAAATAAAGAAATGATACTCTAGGAAATGACACGTGATCTAAAACGGGAAAAATTTGCAGCAAGATAAATAAGCTGGGTTCCTCAAATACCACTGCGTTCCTTGATTATAGACTCATTTTTTCAGCTCATATATTTCAGAATCAAAATATTCTATACCTATACGGCTTTACTTATACCCGTCCAAGGCACGTCGTATAGCTATAACTAAAAACACATTTTTCCTCCTGCAAGGCACGAATAGGCATAATATCGAGTGAATACGAGAATTGCAAGGAATCCAGTTCAAGAATTGGGTTTGGCACTTATGGGACAAGCTGTAACCAAGGTAACAGCACCGCTGGACACGAAAGAGGCTGTGATACTATCAATGGAGACAAAAGCATCCCAGTCATTGGATTTATTCTGGCTCAGTAACGTGATTAAAGTTAAGGCAAAAAATGGACACGTGCCAAAATGTTGCACACACGGTGGAAATGTTGGACAAAATAAAACAAAACTGCTTTGTTTCCAATTGTGTCAAATCTTGATATGAAAATATCATCAACATCCATCATCAACATTGCCATCATCATCATAATAGTAATAATCATCATTATCATCAGCAACAGCAGCAGTATCATTATCATTATCAATATCATCATAGACATTGACATTATCAGCATCATCACCAYCATCATCATCATCAATACATCAATACATCAACATTACCATTATCATAATCAGTATCATCATTATTATTGCCATCCCCATCATCAACATCATCACCACCATCATTATCAGTCATTATGTCCGTGATCTCAATCGTTAATCTTCTATATTGCATTGCTCTAAGGACAACTGATTATACCCAAACACACGTCAGCAGGCTATAAATTAAAGATGCTACAATATCAGGAGTGTTATACTAGTGCATGCTAATGAGCATGTTAGTAATCATGTAATATTCTTCCTTGGTCTACAAAGTCATCATTCTTTGCAAATCGCAAGGTTATATTTTCGCATGTTATTTATTTACCTTGTTTAATGCAATATGTCCAGCAAGTCGTCACTGAGACAATGCCAATGTCACGCATCCTTCGACGTTTAGTTCTATGCAAAATCAATCCACGTGATAAATACTTCTTAAAATAGACCACTCGTCACCGTCCACGGCTTGACTTCAAAACAAAACGTCGTGTCTGTATTATGAAGTTGACTCCCTGAACTGCCTTGTACTCAATGTATTAGCAGCCCAATTCCTCTACGACAGAAAAGTGAACACCAGCTACACTTCCTAATATAGATTTCGAGGTAAGATTGAAGCGTATTCCGAAGTAATATCAGAATTTTGAAAAACAAGGTGTAGGCTCATTGAGAGTAATGCTTTTTGATGCAGAAATTACCATCAATCGAGAGAGAACGTAGTATAAACGAGAATAAACATAGTCGTTGCAGTATTTTATATATTATCTCTCTTCTATCTCTCGCTCACTCTCAAAATACAATTTGAGTCTGCAGAATTGATTTGTGTTTATAGATGTGGCCCCTTTTTGTTTGTACTCAAAAATAACTAACTATTTGCAAGATGAATAATGTACAAAATGTTCAAGACATGTAAATAATCATATAAAATACTAATAAAAAGTCAATTTGGAAGCCTTGATGCATGACGAGGCTTTATATATCAGGTTTTAGCTGTTTTAGCTGACTGTTTCTGATACATAATTTTTCAGTTCTAAAGTGTTTATTGGTGAGTTGTTGTTTTTTTTTTTAAGCGAGAGAGAGCTGTTTTCAAATAGTGTGTGACTTTGTATAAAGATATCCGTGTTGTTGAAGATATGAGAACAACAATGAAGACACTATCGACGCRATAATTTCTTCTTTCATAATCAGTACTTCATGAATCTTGGCGTCTCGATCCATTGCGGAAGTTTCGGATGAAAAGGTTTCTAATGATGAATAAGTTACAATATTAATTTGACAGCTGCAAGGCATTGCCCTCATCCGCGTTTGGCCTTGGAATTGGAATGTGACAGTTGATGCACGTGAATCCGTTTGTTGAATATCATATCATAGACTCTAGCAGTTATCAGAGTTATGTAGATTAATTGGAGAACAAACACTGAATAAAAATGGTTCTGGAAAGTCTACCGATCGTATAAGAAATATAATGATTGATTGTCGGGTTATTTCTGCTAAAGTCATTTTACATACGCTCGCCATTAATTTGCACTCGCGTTTCAACTGTTTGTTCTTGTACTCTGAGAAAACTACCTTTGCCCATTTTGCACTCTTTAAGAGATTGGAGATATTAATTGATACCTTCGTTTAGTCAATATGTTATATTTTATAATTATTAGTTTTCATTGCAGATATCGTCTAGTATCTCACGATGATTCTATCAAGCTTGTTATCTCTTATTGGTGTTGCTATTTGTCTGTCTGGCTTCATCACCGAGTCGAGTAGGTTTATTAGTAATTCATTACAGAATTTGATTACCATGACAACGGCTCACGTGATCTACATCATGGTCACAACCATCACCATCATGATCAACAATAACAACGTGTTTAACAACATGATCATGATCATCATCTTCATTGATACATCATATCATTACCATCATCACGTGCACCATGCTTTGACATCATTATCTTCATAATCATCACTATCATCATCATGACCATCCCTAGCTATGTATCATGATTAACACATCATCGCCATCGACAATATTCATCATCACCATCGCCATGCATCACCATTAACACTTCACCATAGTTAAAAATCATCACCATGCATTATCATCGTCATCATCATCATATATCATCATCATTATTAACGCATCAACACCATCACCATGCATCATCATCATCATCATCACCATGCAT